AGAAATGGCTACGATGAAACAAAAGATAGATAAAATAGAAATAACCTTGGAAGCATGTCAGAAAGAAAAGAAGAAAATAACCTAATAATAAGAGGCTTACCAATAGACACAATAGACGCAGAGCAACTAGAGAACTTTATAGAAACAAAAATAGGAGTAAAATCAGAAATAAATAGGGTACAAAAAATAAATTAAACAATGTGTGTTATCGAATGTAAAAAATTCGAAGATAAAATGAAAATACTGAAAGCCAAGGGTAAACTAATGAACTATACGCAACATAAAGTATATATAGAATGTGATCTAACATTAAAAGACTTAGAAATACAAAGAAACCTTAGGAAGATAGCAGCAGATGAAAAGACTAATGGTAAAAGGACAAAAATTGGATATGGTTTCATAGTTATTGAAGGCATTAAGTGGAAATGGAATCAAAAAACAAGCCGGATAGAAAAAGTAACATACAATACTGAACCAACTTGTTCAAAAAACTAGCTGAAGAAAACACAATGACGGATCGAGAAACAAAACAGGCACAGAACATGGACATGAGCAGACTTAAAGATAACAACACAAACGGAAAGAAAAATAAATTGAAGTATAACTTAAACACAGAAAAGAACAAAACAACTTTGAAAATGGCATCATGGAATGTAAGAGGTATAAATGGGAAGGAAATAGAACTGGGGGAAGAAATTAGAGATAACAACATTGAAATAGTAGCTATAACCGAGACAAAGAAAAAAGGAAGAGGATCAATAATATTAGAAAACGGAATGTTACTAATATACAGTGGAGTGGAAGAAACGAAGAGAGCTCAGGCAGGAGTAGCGTGCATGATAAAGAAGGACAGTATCAACAAGTAAAAAATGGGATATATTACAACGAACGTATACTAAGAGTAGACATAGATATGGATACAGAGCAAACCAATACAAACCTAATAATATGCTATGGATCAGATGAAGACGCAACAAAAAACGAAAAGAATGAGTTCTGGGACAAATTACAAGAAGCGGTAAATGATTGTACAGAGAAAATTGTGATCACAGGAGATATGAACAGTAGAGTGGGAAAAGAAGCAGAAAAATGGAACAATGTCATCGGACCTTATGGGGAGGCAACAATAAACAAACATGGAAAATTACTACTCGAATTCTGTCTAGACAATAACCTGGTGATTATGAACATACACTTCCAACATAAAAAGATACACAAGATCACAATAGAAGTCAAATCAAGAGACGAACAATCAATTATAGACTATACTATGCAAAAAAGAGAGAAGAACTGGATAAGAGACGTAAGGGTGAAAAGGAGTTATGAAATTGGTAGTGACCACTATCTACTAGAAACCACATTCAAATGCAAAAGAAAAGAAATAAAAAGAAATGAGAACATAAACAAAAAACACAAAGAAATAATAAAAATTTATAAACTAAGGGAAGAAACAACGAAGATAAGATACTCAGAAGGACTAGAGAAAGTATTGACAATGAACATGACATAACAGAAACAATAGAAAAAGAATGGGGAAAATTTAAAAATGCGATGATAAAAACAGCTAAATCAATATGTGGAACTACAAGAAATAACAACAGAGGAAGACGTACATCTTAGTGGAACGATGAAGTGAAAAGAGAAATAAAAGAAAAGAAGAAGTTATGGAAAGAATACATAAAAGACAAAACACAACCAAAATATGAAAATTATAAGAGACAAAGAAAAAAAGTTACAGAGATAGTTAAGAAAGAGAAAAAGAAAAGTTGGGAAAAATTCGGAGATAAAATGGAAGAAAACAGCACAGAAAACGTAAAATTATTTTATAGAACACTGAAAACCCTAAGAAGCAACAAAGAAACGAAACTAAAACAAATAATGAACAAGGAAGGAACAATAATAAAAGACGATAAGACAATAATGGAAAGATGGAGGAAACACTTCCAGCTGATACTAAATGGAAATCAAGCGAATACAATGGAGAAGGAAAGCCACATCAAGAGAGTATCCAGGAGAAACATGGAAAATCCAGAAACTATAGGAAAAAAAGAACTGGAAGAAGCAATAAGAAAGATAAATATTGGAAAAGCTCCAGGAAGCGATGAAGTAGCACCAGAAATGATGAAATATATAGGAGTAAAAGCAAAAGAAAAATTATTATACATATATAACCTAATATGGAAGAGAAAAGTAATACCCAGAGAATGGACAAATGCAGTAATTATACCTATATACAAGAAAGGAAACACAAGAGACTGTAAGAACTATAGAGGTATATCACTACTATGTGTAGCAGCAAAAGTATACGAAACCATAATAGAAAGGAAAATCAGAAAAGAAATAGAACATAAATTAGAGGACGTACAAAGTGGATTCAGGAAAGGACACAACACACAAGACCATATATTCACCATGCAACAAGTAATAGAAAAAGCCTTAAAGAAAAATAGAGAAATATATCTGAGCTTTATAGACATGGAAAAAGCATTCGACTCAGTCAAAAGAAAAGATATATGGGAAAACCTAAAGAAGAAGCAAGTAAGTGAAGAACCGATAGAAGCAACAAAGAGTATATACATAAAACAACAAACACAGTAAGAATGTCAAATATGCAGTCAGAACCATTTGAAACAACTCAAGGAGTTAGACAAGGAGGAAGTCTCAGCCCAGTGCTATTCATAAATGTAATAGATGAGATAGTGAAAGAATGTAACAAAACGTTCAAGAAATACTGCATCGGTTGGAACAGAATGCAAATGATAAACGCTGAGATGTGTATATTTGCAGACGACATAGTATTAATTGCGGAAACAGCAGAAAAACTGAAATACAACTTAGAGAAATGGAACCTAGAAGCAAGCAAATACAACTTAAACGTAAACAAAGAGAAGACTCAGATAATGAAAATATCAAGGAAACAAGGGACGGAAGATCAACTAGAAATAATGATAGACCAACAAAAAATAATACAGACAAATTCATACAAATACTTAGGAACAGTAATCAACAACAAAGGAGACATCGAGGACGATCTTAACAACAGAATGGAAACACAGGAAAACTATTCCAAGCACTAAATAGAGGATTCCTTAATAACAAAGAAATATCAACAAAGACCAAGATGACAATATACAAAACAATATATAGACCTACAGTGACATATGGAGCAGAAAATTGGATACTAAACAAAAGGCATCAAAGCAGAATTCAGGCAGCAGAAATGAAATACCTCAGAAGAACGATCGGAGTAAAAAGAACTGATAGAATCAGAAATGAAGAAATAAGAGAAAGACTAAAAATCAAACCGATTCTCGACTCAATCAAGGAGAAAAAATTGGCATGGTTCGGACATCTAACCCGGATGGACAATAATAGACAAGTAAAAAGAGTGTGGGACGCCAAACCAATAGGGAAGAACAGAAGAGGAAGACCCATTAAAGAATGGAACAGTGACATCTCGCAGATACTGCAGAGTAAGGGTAAGACTTGGCAGGAAGCAACACAGATGGCATACAATAGGAAGGAATGGAGAAAGTTTGTCAAGAGCTAGGACACCTCAGAAGATTGTAAAATATTGTAATATAAAGAATTGTATTATAAACGGCCCAACACCGAAAGGTACAAAAAAGTACAAAGTAAGTAAAGAAATGGGTTGGTAACCAGTTATTTTATTCTTCATAATGTTACTACTTGGAAAACATAGGGCACTTTCGCTGTTTACATAAATACAGTCAAATCCACATATTTATATGAAAGGGATATCTTGCGCAATTTTCTACTCTATCTTCATTTTTTTTGACATTTATTTACAAAATTTTTATTAAGGGCCTTGTTTATCTCTTAAGTTTCGGTTTCGTATAATAGATCTGTTTTTATACACGCCAAAATTTTGCATGTGATAAGATCCCGTATAGTAGAGTAACGTGATAAATATAATATGCATTAATTTGCGATACCCAACAAAAAACGGGATAAGCCTCATTTTTGCCAATTTACTCTGTGAAAATATTCTGTGCTATGCTGGGTTCCTTTTTTGCATAATGGTTTTTTTAGTGATAAGAAGTAGGTATGATGCCTCCCACCCCCTATTATTTGGAGGAATATTAGGTTGTAGATCTAAACTTAAACCTAGAAGACGAAACTATCCAAAGTTTTTTAAGCATTAACATTGATAGTACTTGGAGATAGTACATGTATAGGACATTTAGAAACGAAAATAGCTTGGTGAATGAAAGCACTTCATGAGTTGACAACAACTCTTTCATCTAAGTAAACAAAAAAATAATCTTTAGAGTATCCTGGAACATATTAGATATCCTATACGGAGAGGAGCTATCATCACTAACAACAATATAAAATAAAAACATCCAAATTAGATATAAGATGTATTTAAATTACAAGAAGGGACAAAATAAGGACTAAGTAAATATTGAACAGGATGAAAGAAGAATGGCGAATAACAAAAGAATTGTAAAAACAGTACAGTGGAGGATTAAAACAGCGAACTATTAATTGGAAAAAGTCGAAGAAGAAGAAAGATTCTATGAAAAATAAGTTTACAATTATCTTACTCAACTGGTATTTAATTAACTGGAAATATGGGAGCTTCTTTCCAATACAGAAACTTCCAAGACAAACAAAAAAACTTTCGTTAATTTTATTTCACAAATCGAACTATTAGCTCAGGTATTATTACGTAAAATTCTTATTACGTAAATTCCTATTATTTTTAAGATAAACTTGTTTCACTATATCTGTTTTTCACTATTCACTTTTGTTAAGTTTTGAAATTTAAAATTGCTTTATTTCAGAATAATATAATTTACCGTTTTCCTCTAAACACTTTAATTTATTTATCACAGCTGTATATCGTACATACCTACACGGTCATAATAAATATAACAAAAAAAATTAAAAATATTCATGAATTCAGAACTTTGTGTGATCTTTTTATTGTTGATACATTAAATAATAGTCTCAATTGTTTCTATTATTCTTAGGTTTGTTCCATGCAAATGCTTTTAATTCACTTGGAATAATGCTTAGTGGAGGTGTTGGAGATCAGATGGCTAATTGGATAGTCTCTGGCCGGCCCAATTTGCCTCTCTATGCTTACGACATCAGAAGATTCACGCCGGTACAAAGACAAGATCGTGCTTGGGTCTTGGAACGTACTCATGAAGGATACGCAAAAACATATAGTATAACTTATCCCCAAGACCAACCGTTCGCGGGAAGAAATCATAGGACTGACCAATTTCATGAGGTAAATTTATTTAGACAAGTTACTGTTTATTATTGAGTGTAAGTGCAGCTATTTGAATATACAAAAAATAAAAAAAAATCAATCAAGTAAATCCAAGAGAGTGAGCTTGTCCTTATAAAAGTAACCTTATAGTATATTTTTAACTTATAATGAAAATAATATTAAATATATTAATTATTTTTATAGGCTCTTGTAGCAAGTGGGGCTGTCATGGAAGAAGCTTTAGGTTGGGAAAGACCGTCTTATTTTGTAAAAGATCGTACTGCTCCTGTTAAACCTTATGATTGGTATGGCTATTACGATCATGTCCTTAATACTGACACGCGCTATAAAAAAGAGTTGGAGAGTGAACTTACATATGGATTTTCTAGAAGCCACGATCTAGTAAGTTAGATATTTCAATGATCTTTTAATTATTGTTGCATCATTGTTAATCTTTTAATCGTTATAGGTTAAAGAGGAGGCTTTGGCTGCGAGAAATAACGTAGCTATGTTTGACCTCACTTGCTATGCTAAAATGTATCTAGCGGGACCAGACGCAGAGGAAGCAGCTGATTGGTTGTTTACTGCCAATGTAGATAGGGCACCAGGAAGTATTATTTATACATGTTCCTTAAATTCAAGAGGTTATGTTGAATCAGATGTGACTGTAATTCCACTTGAAGAAGGCGCTGGAACTTTAGTCGGTCCAATTTTGAAAGTAAGTTTTTTATTTAAACATAAATTTTAGCTTAAATCATCAAACAGATAAACTCCTCACATCGAAGTGTGTGTGCGCTATCTCGTTAAGTAATGAGTCAAACGGTCAGCGAAATGGTGATTGGATGTTATCGTGTAAGAAAACGCCAATACAAACGTATAGCTAAGGTAATGTGATTCAAAGATGATGCAGAAAATGCTAAATGGAAGAAGAGACTGCCATATATATCCTATGCCATTGCAATTAGCCAAGCGATATGAGGCAGGGGTTTATTGATTTATCGGCTAACTGAGGATTGAACCAGGAGAGATCTTAAAACTACAAATAAGGAAACTGTTGGCTTTCATTAAGACCATAGGAGCTATCAAGTTTAATGTAAAAAAAGAAGGTATGGTACATGGTTTATCATTTTATTACTTTACTCATCTATTCCGTTTCTGCAATATTCATTCACCGTTCTTTATTTTTGACTGTCTAATATTCAATGCTTTATATCGTTATGGTTTTCTGTTAGTTTTATAAAATTATCGTTTCAGTTTTTGTATACCACTGCCTCATTCAATTTATTATATCTTGCTTTAACTATACTGCGTTCACAAAAATTATTGTTTTAGGGAAAAGGATATTATATTGTAGCAGGTGCTAAATCTGGATATCAAACTAAAGCTCATTTTAGAAAGCAACTCTATAAGAAGAACTTTAAGAGTCTGGTAACTGAAATGACAAATAGGATAGGAATTCTCTCTATACAAGGACCAAAAAGGTAACAAATTTATTTTTTTAAATTTATAATTTCTAAAAAAGTATTGTTTTTTCAGTGGCGAATTACTTCAATCGATAACTGAATTCCCTATAACTAACGAAAAGCTTCCATATGGAATGTCTAAAATTTTTAAAATCAATGGCATACCTGTAGAGTCCTAAGGATAAGTTATATTGGAGAATTAGGTTACGAAATCCACATTCCACTTGCTTCCTGTATCCCTGTATATAATAAAATTATGGAAGCGGGAAGAGGATTTGATTTAAAGCATGCCGGATTTAAAGCATTGGAATCGTTAAGTTTAGAAAAAGGTGAGCCGTTCTCTTGATTTAATATTCTTCTTATGGTATCATCTTTAGTACATATTGGCAACAATATTAACAAAGCCATGTCTATCTCGTGAATCACAAAACAGTGAACGTAAATCAAAACGAGTCCAATCTCTTTTATTTTTCAACCACGAATGTTTGCGACTTTCTAGTCTCATCTTGTTTTTTATTTTCCGTTCGATAATTAATTTTATAAGGTTTGCTATACTGTTTTCTTATAACGTGGTCAATATATAAAGTTGCCTCTTTTTATCTTAGAGATTAGCTCTCTCTCTCTTTAGCTTTTAACCCACACATTTAAAAGGCTTCTAAGCATCTTTGAACTAGGTTTCACAATCATATAATAAAACTAGATAAACATAGCAATGAACGAAATGTTAGCGTAAAGTAATATTAAGTTATTACGTTAAATTAACTCTAACAATAAAACAAATATTATTGTGAAATATTTCTATTGAAAATCCCAATTGTATTATTGTTAAAGTTATTTTATTTATTTCCCATGGGTATATTTCATAATTAGAAATTTTGTGAGTCAATATAATTTGTTGTACTTATCATTTGTGTGGAGCACTGTAATAATATTGCTTTTTCATTGCTCCGTCTAAGTAGTACTAAAGTAACGTAGACAGTTTTGTTGCCGAGAGGGGGCATTTGGGCCTGTAGGACCCATCGCCGGCTCTTCGGACTTCTTCCTGTCCCCGGAATTTGATCGGGTGTTGACCATCTTTGCTTGTCGCTGGTAAAACGTGTTAATACTGCTACTGGTATAAAATAACAGTTACCGTGACAAGTATCTGTTATAGGTAACAGTTCCAAGGAACAGTTACAAAATAGCAGATCAAAATAGAAAACAGAACAGGTAAAAAATAATCTAAGTATTCCTTGACTTACGGAAGGAATAACTTGGTAAAAACAAGTAAATCAAAATGGTATAAAAAATATAATGCAAGAGAAATGTTCCTAAGTGTTTCTTGACTTACGGAAGAAACAACTTAGGACAGGAATATAGAAAAATGAAATATGTAAATATGAAACAATGTATGGAAATATTTCTAAGTGTTTCTTAGAACAGAAAACAAACAAGAGAATCAAATATAGTAAAATAAGAATACAAATATTTGTAAGTGTTTCTTGACTTACGCAGAAACAACTAATAATAGAAAATAAGAAAATCAAATACAGAAAAGATATGGAAATATTGCTAAGTGTTTCTTGACTTACGGAAGAAACAACTCAGCATGAAATGGTAAAATAAAAGAGACAAATATATTAAGAAAATATCTTAGATAAATATCGGAAATAATAATGCAATAATGATTATGAAAATATTTCTAAGTGTTCTTTTGACTTACCGGAAAAGAATGACTTAGGCACACAATAAAATTAACAAGTCAAATATCAGAGAAATATTTCTAAGAGTTCTTTGACTTACTGGAAAGAACTACTTAGACACAAAGTACAAAATCAAATTTATAAAATAGAAAAAGTAAGGTAAATATTTCTAAGTGTTCTTAACTTACGGAAGAACAACTTAGATACAAAATACAAGAAAAATAAACAATCAAAATAATCAAATAAAATATCAAATAATTAGTATCTGAACAAATATAAGTCAAAGTAATATTCTAACCTGAAAAGGTCTGAATATACAATAATAAAATATAAATGGTTATCAGGAAATAAGAAATAAAACAATAGCTTAGTCGGAACAATAATAGCACCGACTAGGTCTACAGAAGAAGAGGCAAGCTCGACTGACCGATGAGAGAAATTCCATCTGCTTTTATATAAAACAAATCCTTTGTTTTACGTAGCAAAAGTGGAATTTCCCTGCATCGAGTCAATTAGAAATTCGGATTTGCCCAAACTTGGAATTTCCAAGTATTTCTCCGAATTTCTAAATGCGTCCGGCACGGCTGTCAGCTTCTGCCTGACACGCCTCCGGAGACAGTTTGTCTCCTTGTCGTACACTTAGTTCTTTGTTGGTGTTTTCCCCCCTCTTATGATGTTGGCTATATCGTTTTCCAGTGTCATCCTTATCAGTCTTAATTATTGTTCTTTGTATATTAATTTCTTTCATTTCCACTAAAGTTAATGTGTATTTATTAATTCAAAGACTGAAAATCTTTTAATAGTAAGTGCAGGTCTGTATCATATGCGTAGCACTTTTTCAGCCATTGTATTAATAAATGTATGCTGTCTATGGTTCACTTCCATTTTCTAAGCTTCTCAAAATATTCGACACTATTTTGTATGTGGTAGTATTTAGTAAGATTATCCTTCTGTAATTATTGGTGTTTGTTAACATCCTTTTTCATAAATAGTGATTTTGCTTCAATACAACGGTATCTTCTTTTTCTCACAAATATGTTTAAGGTGATCCATAGCATCAATCCTGTTTCGTTCAAAATTGACTCATTATTGATTTTATCTGTATCTATTATTCACCTGATTTTGTTTAGTTTAGCAGTTTCAATACTTAAGTAAATGCCTTATATGTAGGAATGTTTTGGTCCTCTCCTTTGGCTTGCTTTATTTTCAGATCCCTTTCCTATTTTATCCATTCCTACTACATTTTTTTAATTATCATTTACTCATCCCTAGGTTTAAATTTTTGTACTATCAGCCGTATCCCATTCATGTATATGTTTTCACATGTTTACTTCGAGATTTTCATAAATCCTTGTCACTTGAGTTTTCTACCTAAATGTTAATGTAATTAATTGATGGATTCGACCGTTACTTGATGGAAATTCATTTTATGTAACATAAACAACGAACAAACAATTAATAAAATGTTAAATCAAAAACTACACAAGAAAGCCCTGAAATTAGTATTTCCACCACCAGAGAAAAAACCCAGTACCTTCTGCTCGATTACATATACAGGCAAAATAACAACAAAAATTGCCAAACACATAAAAAAGAAAGGAATAACACCAGCTTTCCAAACAAATAACAACCTAGGCAAATATATTAAAAATAACAAGAGCCAAAATAAAAAACACTTAAATAGTGGTGTGTACAAACTTCAATGTAACGACTGCCCAAAAACTTACATCGGTCAAACTGGTAGAAACTTTGATAAACGAGTAGCAGAACATAAAAGGGCTTTCAAGAATAGAAAAACAGATTCGACATACGCACTTCACCTTCTAGATCATAATCATTCTTTTAATGACAAATTTAAAATTCTTCACATTCAAAATAAAGGCCTTAAGCTATCTTTGTTAGAATCTATGGAAATCAACAAATTAAAAAACACAGATATAATTCTGAATGACCAACTTGAGACAAACAGTTCTCCCCTCCTCAACCTATTTCATTAGAGACTATAAATTTGTAAACCCAAGCCAAAATAGATCACTTGAGAAAGGCAATCAGCCGAAACAGCTGTAGTGATAATATTTAAAATAAATTTTGTGGAAGTTTGAAAACAAAGTTTTCAGTGTTTTATTGTTAATGTAATTATTTATAGATTGACGTTCCTATTATTGATTTTTGTACGGTTCCTATTATTGATTTTGTACGGATATTGAATCACGGACAAAACCCTGTAACGTTTTGTCCGTGATTCTCTTTTCCTGCATAGTAAAGTATGATTTTCTGTTATATTTTAATCTTGTGTTTTTAGCTTATTTAGTCTCCCCAGTTTTTTGTTTCTATTTTCCGTAAATTATTAATTTCCACGTTACATTTATTTTATTTCTTGTGTTTATTCTCTAGTCCATATCTTTCTAGTCATTTTGTTTTACAGCAGTTTTTTAAATTTCCAATTTTATACTTACCTTTTTCACTTCTCCTCTTGACAATTTATTATTATGACTAGTTTATTTTTTTGTACAGTAATGAGATTTGATTCTTGGCGATATTCAGTTGATACATTTTAGGCTACCATCTTCTTAACCACGATCTAAGGCTAGACGATAATCCAATAGAAGCTGGTTTGGGCGCTTTTTGCAGAAAAGATGGACAATACTTAGGAAAGCAGGCGGTAGAAAAATTCAAACAAGGTGTTACAAAGCGAAGAGTATTCTTTACGTTACAAGAACCGGTAGCTATTTATGGCAATGAAACTATTTGGAGGGATGACGTCATCGTAGGAATATTAAGGAGAGGAGATTATGGATTCAGCCTCGACAGCACGATTGGTACAGGGTAAGTTATTTATATTCACATCATTTTTTAGTTTTATATCTAAAATATAATTGCTTACTCCATAGGTTAAAATAATTTCAAACGAAATCGCGAGGATACCTCTTTTAGGTACATTCAAAAACAAGTCGAATGATGAAGATGTTCTTTAGGATAGGCAATGTTCTAACCATGGTAACAATCATAGAAGTAGTACTGCAAAAAATAACCTAATTTTTTAACGAATATTCTTATAAATTAGCAAGATTGACCGGTGGACAAAAAGAATTTTGGAATGGAGACCCCGAATACAAGCTTACAGAAATAGAGGTCGACCCCCAACGAGATGGACAGATGACATAAAAAGAGTGACTACAAATTGGATTCAGATGGCGCAAAATCGGACTAAGTGGAAAAGCATGCGAGAGGCCTATGTTCAGCAGTGGACGTTAGAGGCTAGTTGATGATGATGATGATGATTCTTATAAATAGGCAGACGTAATATATTAAACAGTAATATACAGAATAACGTTGCGGAGAAAGTGAAGAGGCGAATATTTATTACCAATAAATGTTACCATGGCTTAATTAGGCAACTAAGATCGGATAACGTCGCAAGAAAAACAAAATGCCAAATATACAAAACCTTAATAAGACCGTAGTCACATGCGGCTTAGAAACCTGGACACTCACTAAAAGAGAGGAAACGTTGTTAGCCACCTTCGAAAGAAAAATCTTGCGACACATATACAGGGTGGTCCTTATTTGCTCTTTAAGTTAGCCCTATGTGTATTAAAAAATATTAAAAACACATTATTTTTACAAAGAAAAGGTATACTTGTTAATAACTTCAAAATTCAACCGTTTTCGAGAAAATCGTATTTTATAAGTCAGCTACATAATAATTCTTAGTTGTGATAATTTTGCGACAAAACACTGAATACCTGCGAATAAGCATAATTATTAGTTTGTTCTTATTTAAACAACTCAAATATGATAATGTAATATCCCGACATACTTTGTTATGGTTGCTTAATGTCTTATTGGAGAGAAGCTTCTATCTTCTTCTTTGAGTGCCGTATTTGTATTCAGAAGTTGGCCGTCATCATGTTTACAATTTCCTTTATATATCGCTTTTATAACTTTCTATACTGGCGTTGTATTACTTTGTTTTTATTGTAAAATCCTAAGGCGAGTGTCACGGAAGAAGCGCTACGAGACGGCGTCACGTTTACCGTTAGTTGTCAAAAAATTCCTTTCAAACTAGGTACAATCAAATTGTATTTTTAAATATCTTATTTATTTTATATAATAATTAAATTTACTATCAAATTATTGATGGAATATCAAATTTTTATTTTAATAATAACTTAATATATTAAGTCTCACTTTGACGGGTTTGCAGTTTGTTGATACGTTAGCAGGTGGCGCCACTAGAAAACATAATTTATTGAATTATTTTAATATAATATAATTTGTTCAAAATATAAATATTTAATATTTATTATTTAATATTTATTATTTAATATTTATTAAATGTTAAAAATATTATTTAAAAAATATAGAAAACTTTGAGGGTATACAAGGCAACTATCGAACACGGTGATTAATTTAATCTTGCCCAAGTACTTTCGATCAATAGATCATCTTCAGGGGCATTTCATCAGTTGTGGACTATCCGACATGAGTAGAATGTCATAAATGTAAAATTTGGACATAGCAATACAAAATACAATACACAAAGACAAACAAACACTTTAAAATTTTAAGGAGAAGCTACATGTTGTATAAAAGCCGGAGACAGAATACAAAAATATAATACAAAATAAATACAAAAATATACAACATGTAGCTTCTCCTTAAAATTTTAAAGTGTTTGTTTGTCTTTGTGTATTGTATTTTGTATTGTTATGTCCAAATTTTACATTTATGACATTCTACTCATGTCGGATAGTCCACAACTGACGAAATGCCCCTGAAGATGATCTATTGATCGAAAGTACTTGGGCAAGATTAAATTAACCACCGTGTTCGATAGTTGCCTTGTATACCCTCAAAGTTTAATTATTCGAACATTCAACCTTATATTGAAATATAGAAAACATGATATGAAGCTAAGTGCTAGTCTACAGTGTCAGCTATTGTACCTACCACGTTTTTTTTTGAAGGCAGTTTTGATGCGAGTAGACAATCCCAATGCATTACGGGAAAGTTTAATATAGTAGGCTGATGTCACGAATGCATTTGACAACTAAAAATAAGTCTTGTTTTGTTTAATCAGTGATTTTTGTAATATCTAGTCTATTTTGTTTTCTTAAAGAAGAGCAGAAAAATGCCAAGGCATAATAATTTTTCTAATATGGAGATGAGAGATGTGGTTGCTATTTATTGTCAGCAACACTTTAACGGGCTAGCAGCGAAAAGGCAATATTTAAGAAGATACCTAAATAGCTGAAACCCAATCACCAAACATTTAAACATCTATTTCGAAATTTAGGCGAAAGTGGTTTATTTCGTCCCAAACGTGACAACTTAGGTCGACCAAAAATCATTACGCATCGATAAATGTATTGTATTAAATGGTAGACATATCGAACACTTACTTTGACAAAGAGTTTAATCGTAATTAGTTTAAGTATTTCTTAATTTGGTTTGAAAAATAAAATGTTTATGACTTTAATTTAATATAAAACGTAAAATGTTTAATGTCAAATCCAATTATCCTATTATTTTGTCAAATCATATTATTAATTAACCTGCTGATAGATTTATTTTATTTAATATTTTGTTAGTTATTAACTTTGTTACAGGTATTTTATACCAAAATTCAGAAGTATTAATGTTTTTCTCTATTTTTCATTCGTTGCTTGGAGTAATTGCGTTAAATCAGAATTATGCAGTTGATTTGTAAAATGCGATTATCTCGAAAACTGTTGAGTTTTAAAGTTATTAACAGGTATACCTTTTTATGTTAAAATAATGTATCTTTAATATTTTTTACCAAAAATATCGATAACTTAAAGAGCAAAAAAGGTAGGTGCAAATTTATGAGACATATGTGGCATATGTGGCGCCCTTTATCAGCTACATCTAAGTCTGCATTAAATTATAATTTCTTATATTTAGTAGTACCCAGTTGTAAATTTTTATACATAAATGTCAACAAACATGAAAGTTATAGCGAAAAATAAAATTTTAAATTTCCACTTTAACACCCTGTATCTTTCTTAATATCAACATTTTAGCTAAACAAGTTAACTTAAATCGTAATGTTTTAAAGTGCGGAATCTACGGTTTCTTTTTGTACAATTACTTAAGGACCATCCTGTATAAGGGCACAAAAGAAAACGGAATATGGCGAAGAAGATACAACTTTGAACCATACAAAAGAATGGAAGAAAGCGAAATACCAAACAAAATATTTAAACAGATGCCAGTAGGAAAAAGAACATGAGGAAGACCGAAGCTGAGATACTTAGAACAAATGGAAAATGATATAATAACCTTAAAAATAAAAAAACTGGAGAAAAAAAGCGCGAAACAGATCAGAATCGAGAAGAATCCTGGAACAGACCAAGACCCAAAAAGGGTTGTCGAGCCAGTGATGATGATGAATATACAGGATGGTCATTAAGTAATTGTACAAAAAGAAGCAGTCAGTTAAAAGCAGTTAAAATATTACAATTTGGCCAACTTCTTCTTCTTCGTTCTCTTTATAAGCAATTCTGCTTGTTCATTGGCAGATTAATACCTCTATGGAAGGTTGTTACCCCGTCTTTTGCGCGGTCGATCCGATACTTCTTCTGCTGATTGGTGACTTATCTCTTGCTATTTTGACGACACTGGTATCCTTCATTCTGCTCATGTGGTTATTCCATTCTTTTTTCCTATTTTGTGTCCATTCATTTATACACTGTACGTTACATTTCCTTCTAATGTCTCCACTTCTCTTTCGATCTTCAAGCGTATTTACTGTAATTCTTATCAGTACTCTCATCTCTGCCGTTTCCAGTTGCCTTGCGTTGTGGCTGCATTGGGTCCTGTATCTGAGGCATATATCATTATTGGTCTTACACTGGCTTTATAAATTCTTGACTTCATCTCAGTGTTAATGTGTCTGTTTCGCCATATAGTATTATTAAGGCATCCATACAGTCTATTTGCTTTTTGTACTTGATCTCTCACTTCTTTGTCAGGCTCCATAGCTAGACAGTGTAATTTTCAGGAATTTTACTTCCATTACTTCTTTAATACTGATGCCATCAATTTCTATTTTACATCTAGTTGGTACTTTGCTGACTACTATTGTTTTAGTTTTCTGAGATAAGATTGTCATATTAAATTATTTTGCTTTTGTAGTATAAACTTACTATGGTCCTAATTATTGTTTGATAGACTCGGAGTTTTGTTGTACGGTGTATACCTCGCGATTTGATTATGTGGAATATGTGGCCCATGGCGAAATCGGCTTTATTGAATACATACATGTGCTTCTGTTTATATCATTTGCACTAGTTCCTATTGTAGGATTTAGAAATAAAAATATACCAAGATTAATAAGTTATTAGAAGTTAAGAGACACATCGTGTACAATTAACTACCTAAGCATATAGAAATTAAAATTTCATAATAATCCGAGAATACAATATTACCCTTATAATTTAACCAAAATGTAACTATTTTTCTACAACATCGACGACAAGACAACTATCAAATTGGTTGCCATAAACACAGATAAGAGTGTGCTATGGCCATAAAGCGCTAATTGATAAACATTTAAAGATCGACATAATTACTTCTTAATTTATATTTTTTTTCGAAATCGTCAACAAAAATTTAAAATGTATTTCTCATTATAATCCATCTTCATATACTTAATCCCATATAAATACAATACATAATGTATACATTTTATGCAAAAAATTCTAACATTTTTACTCGTACTTTTTATTATGTAACTCAAAAATATATAAGGGCACATACCTTACAAGACAAAAGTATATAACTAAACACTATTTCAAGTAAGATAAAAAAATTAAAGAGTCATTACAGCACATCATTTGATGGCTCCAATAAACTTTAATTCTTATGTTCGAATGTTCTGGGTAGCTCTTAAATATAAAAAGTTACCTAAGTTTCAGCACAATAACCAAATAATAAGAGTTTTGCAGTATATTATTATCAAATATCATACAAGATGGCACTCCTGAGCCAATATTTCAGCAACATTGGTTTTTAACTGGTTCTGTGCTGAAAACTACCCTTACTTGCTTCTTCTAATTTATTGAATTTTTTAGTTTCTGCCAGTCCTATTTGTTCAGTTCATTTGCAGTATTATGATTGCCTTTATAAAATAAAAGTATTTTGACAGTTTGACATATTTTTATATATAAATTTTGTGAATCTTTTTTAAGGTATGTTGAACATCCAAAGGGAAAAGTAATTGACAATGAATTCCTTAAGAACGGTACCTATCACATTGAAGTCAGGAATAAAAAGTATCCTGCTTCACTATATTTGAGAAGCCCATTTGATCCAAAGAATTTAAGATTAAAGGGCATATATGACAACCAATTGGAGGAGCAAAGCCATTTTGAAGACTGAAAACTGAATTAAGTTTAAGTGTATTACCACTCCTAATTAGATATTAATGTATATTTTAATAATATTTATAAAATTTCATTTTAAAAAATGTTGTGTATTATCATAAAGTTTTAATAAAGTTTGTTGTTGTAATATTTAATTTAGATTCAAATATTGCTTGGAAATGAGAAAATATTGTTGTAAGTCAGATATACCGCCATGTGCGGTAGAGAAATTGAGATCTCTCTCCACCCGCAAAATATTCAATGAACTCATTTTATCGAGCAGAGATGACCTTAGAGAAGTTACGGACTTTCCGTCGTTGTCAGCTGATTCGATAGAAGGTCGTTCTCATTATATAAATCAGCAGATGAGGGCTCAAGATTATTATTGGCGATTCTAAGCACAACCTTGTTTTATTCAAGGTGCTACTAGCACGTCCGCAACGAAACAGAAAACCCCCAATGCTCATCGAAAAACACAATATAGAGTCGCTAGCAACAGAGAGTACAAAACACCTTTATGAGAACAGGACTACCAGCAAACAAAAAGAGATCGAATTACAACCAGAATGGGAAGTAAAATATACCAAGTAGCAGAAGAAGCATTTGGAAAGCGGAAAATTAACACGAGGGCGATAAACCACACCAAACCGTGGTTTTATCAAGAGGTAAAAGAACTCTGAATTAAAACGCGAATGCTACCTGAGATATAAAAGCACACAATCGGAAGAAGCTCTTGCAGAATATGTCCAAATAAGAAACGAACTAAACGCAAGAATAAAATTAATCAAAAGAGAACATTGGGCTAACTTCACCAGAGATATGGACTACGACCTACATGGTGCCCAAAAGAAAGTATGGAAAATGCTTCGAAACAGGAAAAAACCAGTTAACGAGTTCGTGCAAACCAAGGGTGTACCAATAGAGACATGGCAACAGCATTTTAAAGAGCTATATAATGCTGAAGAAACGCTGAATATAAACGAATACGAAGCAGATATAAGTGCTACAATCAATGACGAAGAGGTAGAAGCAAAGATCAAGAAGCTAAAAAACAGAAAATCACCTGGAACAGATGGTATACCCAATGAACTCTCAAAATATTTAGGCCCTGAACTTGCAAGTAAACTGTCACAACTATTTAACAAAATTTTAAACTACACAGAAACACCAGAGGAATGGCATAAGAGCATCACAATCCCCATATTTAAAAAAGGACAAAAAATTTGCTCACAAAACTACAGAGGAATAACTCTCTTTAATACAACGATGAAACTTTTCACGAGTATACTTAAGGACAAATTGGAAAGGCAAATCACGAATATTGAAAAAAAGGTTTTATAAGAGGACAGTCTATAACAGATCCAGTATTCATAATAAAACAAATAAAAGAAAAAGCTATAGAGAGGGCTTTTGACAGGGTTTGCCTGGGGACATTCTAAATATATTAATAGAAAATAAAACACCGACCAACATAACAAAGATAGCCCATAACCTAAATAACAACAATGTAACCAAATTAGAGCAGAAGACCAATTCACTTAAAATATTCCAACACCGGGAGGAATTAGACAAGGCGACAAGCCCCTTCTTGTTTAACCTACTCATGAGCAAAATTATAAACAAAGTAACGTCTCTCAATCTCGGATACAGAATGGGAACAAAAGAATTGGTACGATGTGTTACGCAGATGATGCAGCTATTATTGCCGAATCAGAAGATGATTTTCAGATACAGCTCTTTCAGTTCTTTTAAATAAGCCGCCAACTAAATATGACCATTTTATCCAACACAACTAAATGTATGACAATAGCAAAAAAATCCACTCAGATGTAAGTTAGTGGTTGAGAACAACCCATAGACTAGGTGATGCAATTCAGATATCTGGGCATAGATATATCAAGCACACAGAGCCAGTAAAGGACCTAAGGAGTCAGGTCAACAAAGCATCTGCATGTCAGGTTGCTGCGGAGATAATCTGGCCAAATCTTTATATGCGCACAGATAGTAAAATTAGAATCTACAAGACTTGCATACGACCGATCATGACATATGACATAGAAGTGCGCGAAGATACCAACAAAACGAAACAGATGCTAAGGGTTGCTGAAATGAAAACCCTAAGAACAATTGTGGGCAAAAAAAGAAGAGACTGGGTGAGAAATATAAACGTTAGAGAGCAGTGCAAAACTCAAGATATTGTAAGATGGGGAAGGCAGCATAAGAGGATGTGGTACAATCATGTAAGACAAATGGATGAGAATAGACTCCCAAAAATTGTCCTAGAAAACAACCCGCCCGGTTCAAGACCTCCCGGAAGACCACCTAAAAGATGGAGGGATAGTTGGCAATCTACCTCCCAGGAAATTAACCAGAGGCAGCTTCAGAATTAAACAGATCAAAAGATCTCCAAGAAGTAGAAAAAGAAGAAGATTCTACGCATTAATGCGAATACTTCTTAGACATAGTAATTATTGTAATTAGTAATTGTGATATTTGTATATAAGTTTTTGAGTTAAATGAAGTTAATTAAACCACGTCGTGATGCACTTAACCTCTGAATACACAGAATAACGCAACAACTGGTGTCAGAGGTAGGATAAGTGAAAATAAGGTATTTTTGAGAATTTTTATGGTCAATTCAAGAAGCTAGACCAAGATGGGGGAAATTTAAAATATGATTCGCACAATGGAACAACGTTGTAGAGAACTGAAAAAAAAAACTAACGAAAAACGACAAGAAAAAGAAAAAAGAAAGACGTCGATAAGCAGCTGAAGAAAGACATTGTCAGAAAGAAACAGAGTTGCTTATCAGTCTTATCAAAATATAGATACCTTAAAAGTGAATAATGAAAGATTCATAAGATATGAAAAGAGCAATCGAAGAGACAAAAGAAGGCATAATTAAAGAAATTAAAGTAACAAGAGGTTTAGCAAAAGACACTTTTTCACCTAGAAATTTAAAAGGCCAAGCAACTAAAAGTTGACCGGTTTCTTACTCGTTAAAAAATTAGTTTCATCTTTCCCTTTATTTTTTTGTAAAGATTTTTCTTTTTCCTAAACTCTTTTTTAACAAAATTGTTCGAGATTTCCTAGGTTTCATGAGTCTATATGCTCATTTTTCCTTATAGTAGATTCCTCACACTTGGCCTTGTACCAACCTATTTTTTTCTGAACCTCTTCACTTTATAGTACCTATCTGATTTGCTGCACAAACGTTCAAGAGCAGACTGACAGAGCCAGGACACACAATAATAAACAGTCAGAATGCTACTCTCCATAGAAAACTAGGTACGCGCATCTCGTTCGCACAGACGTTCCGCCATGTTTTAAAGGGAACCAGTGTTGTTCAGTGAAAATTTATGTGGTCTGCATTGAAAAATTAACCCGGTTTAATTGACTTACGGCAATCATAGACATACTATGCAATTATTTTAACATCGTTAAATATAATTCCATAAATATAATATAATTAAACATAAATATAAACAATGACGTATAATATATAGATTGAGCAGTCCCGTATTCCTCGCTATATAATCCGATGTCCGAAAGATCTCCGCTAAAGGTTGAAGGTATGTTATTACCAGAACAGCGGCGTGCTTATTTATATTTTAATGACAATAATTATTTTTTTAATTAAAATTAAATATTTATGATTTTTTTTGTTCCCGTCTATAAGAGAAAAAATTATTTTTATAAAATAGTATGGCATTTTACTAAAATAGTAAGTAAATAACTCTCAACAATTTAAAATAAAATTTGCTTGTCACATAAAATATGTAAACACACAAAATGGCGAAAATGTTTCTCAAACACATGATCAACTTCGTGATGCTTCGTAAGAAATCATGAACTTCGTGCATCTTCGTATCAAAACAATAAACAATTATAAAGGTATTCATGTTGTGGACACTTTTTACAGCGTTCACCGAGTCTATATATTATACGTCATTGAATATAAACAATTACATAACCTCACAAATCATATGTCAATAAAGACCCATTACTCTTTCCTTGTCTAAGATTACACTATCAATCGATCGTGTTTCTTTCTAAAACATGGCGATCTCGTGCTGAAAAACTTCAAAGGCGGCATCTGAGAGTGGGCATTCTGATTATTTATTATTCTGTGTCCAGGTTATTGTGAATTTTTGAATATTATGACTTTAATAGTTGCTTGATGTTCTGTTTTTACCGCATTTTTTAAAATTATTGATTATAATTGTTAATTTATATATTAATTGTTTTATATTAATTTTTCTAAATATTTGACCACTCACAATTGGACATATCGTTATTTTTAGCTACTTGATGTTAACATTAAAATTGTTAACATGATTATAATTGTTAATTTATATATTAATTGTTTTATATTAATTTTTCTAAATATTTGACCACTCACAATTGGACATATCATTATTTTTAGCCACTTGAATGTTAACATTAAAATGTATTTAATAAACAAATATAAGTACCATGTCATATGTCATTGGGGTTGTCCATTAAATTTGTTCAAGCTACACTTTTGCTACTAAAAAATAGGATTTGTCATATATTGTGACATTTTTTGTCAACAAATCATCTAAAAAAGCTTTGAAGTCATATTAACTATTTAAGTAAATTTTGGTTTTAAAGCTCAATTGTTTAACGTTATGGAAGAGAATAAATGGAATGCAGATATATACACACCAAATGTAAGTAATTTTTGCATTTTCCAATTTGGAGGTCTATTGCCTAAATCAACCACAGTTATTAATCTTTTAGTATATATTCAGAAGGTAAAATATAATTTAGAACTGCTTACCTAATCTTTGTTTTATCCTACTATATAATATGTTCCTAATTACCATATTTTAGTTTGTTTATTTTAAGGAATGTTCTGACGGCACTTGGATGAAAAGTGAGTAATCCATAATTCAGTTTTCTTTTGCTTTTTCTTTTATTTGTAATTTTTGTGCTTATTTTTTTCGTTTTCCTTACTGTTAAGTGGATTAAGTATTTACTTACGAACATTTT